AAAGGACAAAGGCATGAACCGGCTACCAAAATCATGCCTAATGCCAAACACATCAGATGCATCCAGGAAACATTTTGTGCAAAATAAGGTCAATTCTATTTTCCTGTGGACTTCCACTGTAATTTCTTAAGTTATACTTACAATATAAAAATTTATTAAATTTAACATTTTCAGCATCTTTATTTTCCTATCACCTCTAATAAGAATTTAATCAAGTGGATACTAGAATACAGAAATGATATAAGAACACTAGTAGCCCATCGCGCAATATCGCATGTAGTAGGCCACCCGGCATTTTCGCAGGAGCCGGCAGGAACCACAGCACTGCTTCCCGGGGGGCAGGAGGGACCCACGCTGCTTCCGCGGGAGGCGGGCCCACTATCTCTTCTCTGGGCCTGTGCTCAGCCACGGAGGCTGCGGGCTGGCCCCCCTGTCCCTGTCCATGTCCACTCCGGCTCTGGGGGACCGGCCTGAGCTGGGCACGGCGACAAAGCAAGCATTCCACCAGGCCACTCACGCTGCCCACTCTCAGCGGTCCCCCCCACAAGCCCTCCCAGGACTGGGAGACTCTGGTGGGGCTGAGAGGACTGGGCGCTTTACATCTTGTGGGTATGGGTGCCGCCATCTTTGTAATGGAGTGATGGTTAATTTGCATATTACCCTTTTATTAGATAGGATACCAACAGATATCACTGATGTGTATAATTAAGTATCACAACAGAATGGATATAAATAAGACTCCTGAACTTGAGGTGATCTGGGTTCAAATCCTAACTGTCCCCCTTTCTTGTTCAGATAACTGGGAAAATTACAAACCCTACAGCTTCAATTTCCTCAGTTATAACTGGGGTTTATAATAGTAAATTAGCAATAGTAATACTTATACACAATAACACTAGCCACTTCATAGGATCATTGGGGTTTTAAACAAGATAATAGTTGTAAAACATTCAGTAAATGACCAATAATTAGTTATCATTCTTTCCCTGAAAATGATCATCAACTTCATGACACTTGGATATATAAAAAACCGTATCTTCTCTGCCAAAGTTATTCAAAATGTTTCAGAGAACTAAAGATTTATGTAAATTATTCAGGAAGGAAAGTAATTTCCTTGAGGAATTTTGTGAATGATGCTATCATTTTTTTAATTGTTAGTTGCTTATTTATCTGAAAGAACATTGTGGTATTTTTTTTCAAAATTGGCCATTCTAATTACTTATTACTTGACAGATACTGTCTTAGATAGTAAATTCTCTTAATTAATCCATGAGGTAGAGATCCCAGTTTTACAGATAGAGAAGTTATAGACTAATATCCCTAATGAGCACAGAGACAAAAACTCTCAACAAAATATTAGCAAGCCAAATTCAACAACGTATTAAAAATGACCAAGTGAGATTTATCCCTGGCATGCCAGGGTGGTTCAACATATGCAAATAAATATGTGCATCCAAACATAATAATAGAATGAAAGATAACAAATTATATGATCATCCAACTAGATGCAGGGAAAGCAGTTGGCAAAATACAACATTCTTTCATGAGTAAAAACCCTCAACAAATTGGATACAGAAAGAATAAACCTCAACATAATAAAGACCATGTATAACAAGCCCACAACTAACACATTCAACAATGAAAAACTAAAAGCTTCTCCTCTAATATCAGGAACAGCACAAAGGTGCTCTCTTTCACCACTTTTATTCAACATTAGAGGCCCAGTGCACAAAATTTGTGCACTCAGTGGGGGTTCCCTCAGCTCCGACTGTGCCCTCTCACAGCCCAGAAGCCTTCTGGGGATGTCCAACTGACAGCTTAGGACATCAGTCCTAAGACAGCACCTGTGAGCCCAGCTTCTGGCTGAGCGGCACTCCCCCTGTGGGAGCACACTGACCACCAGGGGACAGCTCCTATATTGAGCATCTGCCCCCTGGTGGTCAGTGTGTGTCATAGCAACCAGTTGTTATGCTGTTTGGTCAATTTGCATATTAGCCTTTTATTATATAGAATATGATTTTTATCTTTCAATTTGTTTGCAATGTATTTATTGATTTATTGATTTCTGAATATTGTACCAGCCTTTCATCTCTGGAATAAATTCCATTTGTTCATGGTGTATGATCTTTTTGCTGGATCAGATTTGCTAATGTTTTTTGAGTTTTAGCATCTATGGTTATCAGGGATATTGGCCTGTAATTCTCTTTCTTTGAAGTATCTTTAACAAAAGGAATATAATCCAAATAAAAAATGGGCAAAGGATCTAAATAGATACTTCTCCAAAGTGGACATGCAGATGACCAAGAGATACATGAAAAAATGCTCAAAGTCACTGATTATCTGAGATGCAAATTAAAATGACAATGAGGTATCACCTCACACCTTCAGAATGGCTATCATCAACAAACCAATAAATGACAAGGGCGGGTGAGGATGTGAATGCAGACTGGTGCAGCCATTATGAAAAACAGTATGGATTTTCCTGAAAAAATTAAATATGGAACTGTCATTTGACCCAGTGACCCCACTTCTAGGAATATATCCTAAGATCCCAAAACATCAATTAAAAAGAATATATGCACCCCTATGTTCATAGCAACACTATTTACAACAGCTAAGATCTGGTAATAGCCCAAGTGCTCATCAGCAGATGAGTGGATAAAAAGCTGTGGTACATTTACACAATGGAATACTATGCAGCAGTTAAAAAAAAATAAGAAGAAAGAAAAAGGATCTCTTTTCATTTGAGACAGCATGGAGGGACCTGGAAGAGTATTATGTTAAGTGAAATATGATAGTCAGAGAAAGATAAGTACCTCATGATCTCACCCATTTGTGGAATCTAATGAACAAAATAAACTGACAAACAAACAAAATAGATCCAGAGACATAGAAGCATGGAACAAAGTGACAAATCTCAGAGGGAAAGTGGGGGTATGGAGTGGGAGTAGGGAGATATTAACTAAAGAACCTATATGCATATACACATAACCCACAGACACAGACAATAATGTGGTGAAGCCCTAGGGAGAGTGGGTGCAGTATGGAGGGGGCCAATGGGGGGAAAAGAAAGAGATCTGTATTACTTACAACAATAAAGATAAATTTGAAAGTAAATAAATAAATAAGCAGCCAAACTCATAAAAACAGATATTAGCTGTTCCCACCAGGAGAAATATTAAAATAATAATTATGTGATGTGATAAAGGTGTTTGCTATGATATAGAAGTAATCATAATGCAAAATACATTCTACACCTTAAATTTCCACATTTATATCAATTGTTGCCATCTTTTGGCTTTAAACAAAGCATATTTCTAAATTAATGACTTTCAGGAAAAAAAAAACAAGGTATTTTGTTATATATATTGTATATACACATAGACAAATTTTCAAACTTTGATAAATAAAAGTGAAATTATTTCTTTTTTTTCAGTATGTACTTTGGCACTTCCATAGTAACAATCCTATGGCTCTTGAAACATTGCCTTTTGAGGGATAATGGTTTACCTTAATCCAAAACACCTGGAGGTAGTTACGTCTGAGGAAAGCACTATATTGTTGTAGACCTTAAAAAGGGATCATCATTTAGTGTTTATATAGTGGAAATCATAAATCTATCCCTAACTCAGTGGGTAAAAACCTGAAGGAATAAATTAACCACTTTTCACAGTGTTTTTAAATACTTTTAGGAAACTTCAGCAAGTTGAACACAGGATTATAGCTACAGACCAAAGGGAAACTTATTTACAACACTCTGGCCACAATACCACTTTCACAATCTAGGGAAATGAAAGCTAGAAAGACCTAAACTCAAATCCTAATCTAGCCTAATTTACTGGTCAGAGTCCCTCAGGCCTCACTTTCTCATCTGTGGAATTAATAGAGTTATTCATTCAATGTTGGCTGAATGCCTAAGTACCAAATCCTCTGTTGACCATGGAAGTTTGATATTTTGTTTTGAGTAAATAAAAAGCATAGTCCTGACTTTGCAAAGCTTCTAATCTTGTGATGCAAAAAATGCAAACCTAACTCTATGACAAATACCAAAAAATGCAACCCAACTCTATGACAAGCCATCATGCCTGGACAAATTTTTTAAAAAGCTACAGAGCTAAAACCCATTTGGCTCAGTGGATAGAGCGTCAGTCTGCGGACTGAAAGGTCCCAGGTTCGATTCCGGTCAAGGGCATGTGCCTTGGTTGCGGGCACATCCCCAGTAGGGGGTGTGCAGGAGGCAGCTGATCAGTGTTTCTCTCTCATTGATGTTTCTAACTCTCTATCCCTCTCTCTTCCCCTCTGTAAAAAATCAATAAAATAGATTTTTTTTTAAAAAGGCTACAGAGAGGAGGAAATATACTTGAGCTGAGACTTAATGAATATAAGTTGCTTAGATTGGGACTATTAGTATTCCTTAAAGAACTGTTCAAAGACAAGATGACAGGAAAGAATGAGAAGAGAGAGGTTTATGTAGATGATGCACAGACTGAGCATCTGATGCCCAGTCTGTGCATCTCTTAAGGGCTTTATATGCCACATTAGGAAATCTGACCTTTAACCTTTAAGAAGTAGTAAACACTAGGATTCTGGAAATTGGCTGTAAACCCAACCAGATGAATCCAATTTGTCTATCATTTCATCTGAAGTTGTTAAATGTCTTTCAAAGCAAAAATGTTTTAAAGCAAAAATGCCATCCAAGTTTTGATGCTGATATTATGAAGTCTAAAATATTTCATTTAACTGAAAATTTTTAGGACTAGTAGATTTCTATTGTTATATAAGTACAGTAGCAAAACATTGTAAAAGCAAGATATAGGGCTTATGTTCTTTATCAAATACAAATTCTGTAAATCCCTAAGTGTAAAAAATATACACAGATATTATATTTATATGCCTCCCAAGAGACTTTTCATCCTTTGTTCAAATAAAGCTTCACTCTCTTTGCTGTGAATATTAATTAGCTACAAAAGTACCTAAAGAGAACATGAAGTCCCATTTACCTGTGCTCTGCAGGTACAGGGGGCGGCCAAACAGCAGGATCTCTAAATGGTTCATCTTGACAAGACACAGGGAAATCTGGGGGCTTGTCAATTTTAAAACTTTCCAAAGTGTTGACAATACTTTTAACTTGTTCATATTCTTCCAATAATTCCTGCCGAACCTTAAAAAAAATAATAATATGCCAGAAATTATTTCAAGTTTATATCAATTGCTATAGAATGCAAGTTTCCTTAAATGTTTTTCAAAGTACACAACATGAGTCATTAATATATATATATGTATATATCCAAAAACAAATAACTAAAGTGATATAGACAGAGGGGTAGGAATTAGTTTGAAAAACGACATAATTAAATACCTTTTCACAGGGGAACTACTAATACACCTTCATAATGAAACTTTATTTCTACCAAGGAATATAATGACCATAAACATAATTTAAAACAAGCAACTAATTCAGTAATAAGTTAGCCAGTCCAGAGAGCTATAATATTAATACTAAATCATTTTTATATACTTGGAAATAACTTTAAAAAAACAGTTTTTAAAAATTTTATTAGTAATCTTAGAGAAAGGAAGAGAGAGAGAATCATCAATTTGCTGTTCCATATATTTACGCATTCATTGGTTAATTCTTGTAGATGCCCTGACCAGGGATCAAACCCAGAACCTTGTATATTGGGACGATGCTCTAACCAACTGAGCTACTTGACAGAGCTAGCTTCCGAAAACTTATCAACCAAATTTTTGACCAGCATTTCCTGTCCCCAATCTCACTAAATATGAAATGCCTGCTTATCATGGGCATATGAACGCCTGAAGTGGTAAAATACTATACGAATAACACACTACTAATTTTTATTTAAATTCTCCTTCATCTAAAATCTGAATTCTTTGGGCCTTGTTAAATTCTTTCAAGTCCTGGGCAAAGTTTATTTTGGGCTCAAAGGCCAGACTTTTCCTATATTTAAAAAATCTCATTGAGCACCTAGTGTATGGAAATTCTTGTGTTTTGAAACTCTGAGCCAAAATTAATTTTCAAATGCAAATAACTAATAGATTGAAAATTAGAGTTATAAATTCAGTTTAACAATTCTAATTTTTTTTTTTTTTAATCAGAATGCACACTTTACTGTAAAAGCAGAGCATAAGAAATGTGCCTTAGCCAAAACCGGTTTGGCTCAGTGGATAGAGCACCAGTCTGCAGGCTGAAAGGTCAAGGGCATGTACCTTGGTTGTGGGCACATCCCTGGTATGGGTGTGCAGGAGGCAGTTGGTTGATGTTTCTCTCTCATCAATGTTTCTAACTCTACCTCCTCTCTGTGGAAAATCAATAAAAATATATTTTTTAAAAAAGAAATGTACCTTGAACTTTACCTTGAATAATATGTAATATTGTTCAAGAAAAGAGAGAGGAAGGAAGAGAGAATCATCACCTTAAATTAAGTCATCAATTTAATATATATAGAAAGGAACATATTAAGGAGATGCAGAATCAAAGAAAAACTAGGAAAAGTTCATATATGCAATTACAAGATATACTTGAAGCAATGAAATTTCAGGAACTTAATGGAAACAATAGAAATATCTGAATAAAAATGGCAACTATTGTACTTAATATAATTAAGAACGTGTCAAGAATATTTCCATGCTAGATTACTAAACCACTCTTATCTGTGGATAGTGTGCAGGATAGAGGAAAACAACTAAAAATTTAAACTTGAGTTTGAGCAAGTATATTGTTCTCACTCAACATAATCTGGTAACACTTAAGTCAGAAAATAAGCCAAATTTACCCTACAAATTTAAAAACATCAATTTCTGAATAGTGGAAAAATTATAAGAAACACTTAAAAGACCTTAGTACGTAAAATGGAACCTTCAAAGAAATACTTGACTTTGTACTTATAATTTTAAAAGGATTTTAAGTTTTAAGAATAAGTGGAAAAATTATAATTCAATGTCTTATTAACTGTACTATTATAAAATCAAGTTGTATAGTCAAGAGAAAGCAAATATTGATATATTAGTGTTTTTTATTAGATTACTGACTTTTGTATTTGTAAGGAATCTTTCAAAAGAAGAATAAACTTTCTTAAAAGAAAAGTTTTATGAAATAGGTCAAAATACATGTAGAACTTAAAGGGGAAAGGGCAAGTAGCAATAATTTATTTCAAAAGTTTGTACTCATAATTAGGCAACTGATCATGAAATTTTTTAAAAAATAAAATAGGTTTAGTTAGGATTATGTGTCTTTGAAGTATGTATCATGAAATAAAAAAAATATATGTAAAATATTATCTGGGCAAGAGAGAAAACTATTCAGAGTGCATTTTAAATATACCTCAGTATTCAGACAAGTAAGAACTATTTACATCTCAAGCTCCAATCTTTCAAGAATAGACTGCTGCCCTGACTCACTGAATAATGTGACCTTACCTGTTGCCATTTGCCTCTGATAGCCGGGTCTCTAACTGACTGGCAATGTCTCTGAATCTGCTGGATCACCCCTTGGTAATATACCATTGATGAGTCATAATTTCCAAGAAGTGCATATTCTCTGCCTTTCTTTGCATTGTCACAAATCTCAGCCAAGTTCATCTTCTTTCAGAGACCTAAAAATTAAATATAATGACTTTTTATTAAGTTTTCAGCACTGACTTCAAGGTATTTTTTATTATTCTTTAAAATATCAGCTTAAAACTACATGGAAAGTCAAAATGGTTTTCTCTTTGTTTGAGGTTATCTGAATGCATCTTATAATACTGAACAAAGTTTCTAATTTTGACAGCACAAAGGAGTTCAGAAAAGAACACCTAAGACAATAATGAGAAATTACATAGCTCTGAACTACTGATTCATGTTACAGGTACTGATTTTCCTTGCTCATTTGTAATGACAACAAGCTGCAATAATAGTACTAAAGATGATCTTGTTTAATTTCTTTCAATTTATTCTTGATAATGTAGGAATATATGAATATCACATATTTTCCAATTATGTCAATTAAAACCGCAAAAATTCTCACTAAAACTTTTGGCCTAAAAACAAAAAGTCATACTGAAGAAACTCATTTTAACAGATCAGCCTATAGTGTCCACGCATCATTTATGTGCATTTAATGTGCCATATAACTTAAATCTGATCAAAATTCTATGAATTAAACTACCTGAGTTCTTTTTGTTCAACTGTAATCACCCATGATCCTGCTATTCTCTATCATTTTTTCTTTTTTGTCTGTGCAAATAACTATCACTAATATTTTCCATTCTACAAGATGCTATAAGACCATCATCTGAAACTATGGTTTCCACCAAAGCTCCCCAGCCCATCATTCCAGCTTTTCTAAACATCTCCCAGAATCTTTCCAGACTTCCATGCAGAAATACTTTCCACTCAAGACTACTGGCTGGTTTTGCTCAGTGGATAGAGCGTCAGTCCGGGTACTGAAGGATCCCAGGTTTGATTCCAGTCAGGGGCACATGCCTGGGTTGTGGGCTCGATCCCCAGTGTGGGGTGTACAGGAGGCAGCCAATGAATGATTCTCTTTCATTATTGATGTTTTTCCCTCTCCCTTTCCCTTCCTCTCTGAAATAAATAAAAATATATTATTTAAATAAATAAATAAAAAGACTACAGAGTAGGAACTACAGAGATACAGAAGAATGACATCCCGGGAAGAAGTCCAAATTGCCTGTTCTTATTTCCTCAAACAGTAGACCAATGAATACCCTTAGAGGAGAAAATCAAATAGCAGTATTTTTCCATGCCTCCCTGAGGGAATTCGAGTTTGGCTCTTCCTTTGTCCCTTATCTGTTCTTAAGGGGCTCTAACACTCTGCCTCAAAATTAACCACATCTAGTTCTAGGCATTGTAAGTGACTACAGTACTTTCTTGAAAATAAAGATGTTTCCTTTATGTGTTTTTGGATGTTTATTTGCCCCTTCACCAAGCATAGGTTCACTGAAGGCATCATCTATGTTACTTGAGAATTACATTGCAGCCAATTGTACACTATTTCTACACAATAAGAAATTCCAATATTCTGTAGATTAATAACAGAATATAGAACCGTAGAAAGCCTCTTCTCAAATTAAATATTAACACAAAGCAGGGAGGTCTTTTTACAGTGAACAATCTGCAATTAATAAATCCAATAGAAACAAAACTGTTCTATATTTTCTTTTAAAGTCACTGTGAGACTAAGCATTAATTCTGCTATTATGTGCAGGTACATAACTTTGCAGAATAAAAATACCTTGATGTAAAGCAACAGTCAGCAAACTTTATCAAGGATCAAACAGCAAATATTTTAGGTTTTAAGGACTGACGGGCAATACTGAGGGCATTGTTTAAGTGAGTGACACAATGAGACAAAATTTGCACAATTTTTATTGATGAAATTCAAAATATTATACTGATAATAGCTGAGCACAACTTTTTGTAAAACAGGTCTTCTAATGAAAATTAAACTCTGTGGGGGAGGAGGAATATTTCACTTAGTTGGGATGCAAAATTACTGATCCTGAACATCAAAATCAAATGCAACCCTGGCCAGTATGGCTCAATTGTTTGCAGTGTCGTCCTGTACACCAAAAGGTTGTGGGTTCAGTTCCCAGTTGGGGGTACATACGTCCGTTTTAGGTTTGATCCCCGTCTGTGCACAAATGGGAGGCAACCAATCCATGTTTCCCTTTCTTTCTTACTCTCTAAAATCAGTAAACATATCCTCAGGTGAGGATGTTTTAAAAAATCAAATGCAAATGTTCATACATTAATGATTACTTTAATGAAATTTTATGTATTTCATGTTTGACAACGTCTTTTTACCCAGATAGATACTGTCGCATACTGATATCAAATCATAAGAATATGATTTCGTTCAGCATAACCACTGTGTGGAATCTCTTCTTCTGATAGTGTCTTTGCATGTCATTATACATGGCAGATTAACCTCTTCCAACCGAGAGAGGAGGAAATGCCTCACCTGCACAGTAAAACGTAATTTGTAATATGAAAATATTCTTTGCACTTGCATCAAAGTCTGAAAAATTATGTTAAGACTGTAATGTGAGCACAGAAAATACATGTACTGCAAATCCAGTGGAGTGGGGGAGTAATGAAGATCTCACTTCTTTAACTTTTGACTGCGTGGAAAGCTACATAAAACAGTTTCGTATCACTTCAAACATTAGTCGGCACTGAAATGGCCAGGCCCCTCCCCCCTGCCCTGAGTGCATGGATTTAATCAAATGCAAATGTTCACTCTAGTGAGAATATAACAGAAGTCTCTGTCACAACTACTGAATTCTGTCATTCTAGTACAAAACTACTCATGGACAATATGTAAACGAATGTGGTTGTGTTGCGATAAAACTTTATTTATGGACACTGATTAATGAATTTCAGTTAATTTTTACATGTTGCAAAAACAGTATTCTTCTTCTGACTTTTTAACCATTAAAAAAAATGCAAAAACCATTCTTAGTTCATGGGTGATACAAAAACAAGTGGCAGGCTGGATTTGGCCCCAAACTGTAGTTCGCCAACTCCTGCTTTCAGTTTGTCATAAGAATCTAGGAAAAACAAAAGTAAATTAAAACCCAAAAAGAGTAGAAGAAATAATATAATATAGTTAAGAGCAGAAATCAATAAAACAGAAACAAACAACAAAAAATTTCAACACAGCCAAAAGCTAGTTCTTTGGAAAAATCATTAAAATTGATAAACCTCTAGTGACACTGACCACAAAAGGGAGAAAGAAAACCTAAGTTACCAAAACCAGAATAAAGGAAGAGCTACTACTACAAACTTCAGCAAAATTAAAAGGTAAAAGGTGATTTAATGAAATTAACAAATTTTATGGTCACAACATACCAAACTTACTCCAGAAAAAATACAGTAATTAATTAGAATAGTCCTACAGCAATCAATGAAATTCAATTTGTAATATAAGATCTATCGGAAAAAAAAGAAAACAAAAAAAACAAACTCCAGTTCCAATGCTTCACTAGTGAATTCTCCCAAGCATTTAAGGGAAAAATAAAACCAATTCTACACAAATTCTCTCAAAAAAGAAGAGGTGGAAAAACATCCAACTCATACTTTAAGACCAAGCTTAACTTGATACAAAACCAGATATTATAATAAATTGATATACCAATATCCTTTGGGTACATAGATACAAAAATTTTTAAATTTAGCTAATCAAATCCAGTAATGTATATAAAAGATAATGCATTATGCCCAACTGGAGTTTATACCAAAAATGTAAGGTGTTTTATTATGTTTAAAACCAATCATATAATTTTTAAATTTTTTAATTACAGTTTACATTCACTATTACTTTGTATTCATTTTAAGAATAGAACATAGTGATGAGACAATCATATACTTTATAAAGTGGTATTTCCAGTACACATCTGGCATCAGAGATAGTTATTACAATTTTATTGACTACTATATTCACTATGCTGTACTTTACTTCCCCGTGATTATTTCGTAACTACCAACTTAACTTCTCAATCCCTTCACCTTTTTTCACCCAGTCCTCACAATTCCCCACCAGCAACCATTAGTCTGTTCTCTGTATCTATGAGTCTATTTATTATTCACTTATGTTGTTCTTTAGATTCCACATATAAGTGAAATCATAGGATATTTGTCTTTCTCTGACTGATCCATTTCACCCAGCACAATATTTCACCTCCAAGTCCATCCAAGCTATCGCAAATGGTAAGATTTCATTCTTTTTTATAGCCAAGTAATATTCATTGTATATATGACCACCACTTTTTATCCCTTGTCTATGGGTACTTGGGTTACCTCTACACCTGGGCCACTGTAAACAACACTGCAATGAACATAGGGATGCATATTCTCCGAATTAGTGATTTTTGTTTCCTGGATACATACCCAAAAGTGGAATTGTTTGGTCACAAGGCAGTTCCCTTTTTAATTTTTTGAAGACCCTCTGTATTGTTTTCCATATTGATTGCACCAATCTACGTTCCCACCAACAGTTGATGAGAGCTCCCTGCTCTCCACATCCTCACCAACACTTGTTTGCTGATTTATTGATAGCTATTCTGACAGATGTGAGATGTTATCTCACTGCAGTCTCAATTAGAAATTCTCTGATAACAAGTCACATTGAGAACCCAACCCCCTCATGTCTGCTGGCTAACTGTCCTTTTGGAGAAGAGTCTACTCAGGTCCTTTGCCCATTTTTTAATTGGACTGTTGTGTGTGTGTGTGTGTGTGTGTGTGTGTGTGTGTGTGTTGGGGGGATGAGTTGTATGAGTTCCTTACAAATTTTGAATATCAACACTTTATTGGATGTATCACTGGCAAGTATCTTCTCCCATTCATAAGGTTGTCTTTTTATTTGTTGATGGTTTCCTTTCATACTTTCACTAGGCCTACCATATATAACTATGGTTACCTAGGAAAGTATTTAAGATAATGCTGAATATATTAAAATATACATGTATTTTAATTTACAAATAGATGCTTAAATATTAGTGAGATCATAATATAAATCAGCCCAGAAATGAGATGTCATCAGAGAATGGAAAGAATTTTAGAGCTATTAGGATCTCAAATCACATAGTGG